TCTGTGTTATACCTTACAATTGCGTGCATCTACAATTATCTCAATAAAAATTTCAAATAAAAAAACGAATTTGAGATGGATCATAGGCCTAAATGTAAAGGTAACTTTTAAATAATTTTTTGTTAAAATTTTTAGATAATTCCTAGAATTATAACTTTTTTATAATTCTTAGAAGAAAATAGGGGAATATCTTTTTTTTTTTTTTTTTTTTTCAGCAAATTATGGGTGTACATACGTTTAGGTTACGTGTGTTGCCCTTGAATAGGGGAATATCTTCAGACCTGGGGTAGGTAAAGATTTCTTAGAGAGGACAAAAAAAGCAATGAACAGAGAATAAAAAATTGATGAATTAAACTTCATCAAAATTGTAAAATTTATGGCCTTTAAAGTCACTCTGGTCACATCAAGCTGGCAGATGGGGGCAGAGTGTTGAGATTCCACATCTGATACTTAACCACTTGTACCCAGAAGTAACACTCATCACTTCCACCTTGACTGAAGAATACTAAGCAAAAGGCTCCATCTGGATGCAAGGGGTGAGGGCTGGCGGTGCCCATGTGATCCCTGACTGGGCAGCTGCCACCCAGCACGATTCCACCCTGTGAAAGGGGGCATGATACCTTCACAACAACAATACTAATACTGGCTTTAATGTCAAGAAACTTTGAAAGACACTATCTCTCTCTACAACATTCCTGAAAGGTAAGTTATATTCCCATTTAAAGACGAGGAAACAAGTTGGGCATGGTGGCATGAGCCTGTAGTCCCAGCTACTCGGGAGGCTGAGGTGGGAGGACTCTCTTGAGCCAGAGAATTCGAGTCCAGACTGGGCAACATAGAAAACCCTCATTTCTTAAAAAAAAATAAAATAAAAAATAAAAAAAATAGGAAACTGAGACTGAGAAAGTTGTAGTGTTTACCCAAGCTTACATAGGTATCCAGCCCAAGTCTGTCTGACTCTAAAGCTCCCATTTCTACTACTCCCAGCTGCCTTCCTCAGCATAAGTCACAGGAGAGACATGCTGTTACTTGTGGAGAAAAGAAAATGTTATATCTACAAGCAGAGAGGAGTCATGCTAGACAAAGATGTGTATATACGTTCTTATCATCTAAGATGAAAAACCAGAAGTTATCTTGGGAAAGACAGCCTGCTTTGGTCTATGATTTGCTCTTAAAGTGAGTAGGTTCATTCTTGTTTTACATAGTCACATCAGTTCTGAAGTGTTTTGATAAAAGAAAATGCACCTCCAGTCCAATTTGGGTCTCAGAAAGGTTTCCTTTGAGTAAACCTCCACCTTGTGGCAATAAATGTGAGTTGCAGGAAAAAATTTGTTTTTTAATCTTTCAGACTCCAAAACATCTCAGTAACCCTTAAAGTTAGAAGTTTTTGCATTAAAAGAAAACAAAACAAACAAAAAAAAGTACCTCCCTTAGGACAGATCTAATTAAAAACAGATGTCTTTTTCAAAGACTTTTGAACAAAGCAATCAAATCACTGACCCATATCATAAAACATATAAAAGATGGAAGTTTTATTAAATCAAGATGTAAAAAGCAGAGGTGACCCAAGGTAATCCATTTAGAGAAAAATCTGATGAAGTTCCACATTGTCCAAACTGTAGCCTTAAAAGCAAAAGGGATTGCTATTGATTATTACATGGGACAACAGCTGTAAAGTGGAGGTGTCCCAGGCACACTGAGGACATGTGGTTCCCCTAAATTTGTTTCTGAGGTTCAGCCTTAGAAAGATGTGAATATGTTTTGTAATAGCGACCATGTGGTAAGAAATTTAACCCTTTCAGAAAGAATAAAATTCTGTATTTCAGCGTGCCAGCAGTAGGATCTCCTAGTATTAACATCTTACATTAATATGATATTTGTTACAATCATTGAACCAATACTGATACATTACTATGAACTAGAATCCATAGTTGATTCATATTTTCTTAGTTTTTATCCAATGTGCTTTTTCTGTCCCTGAATCTCATCTAGGTTACCACATTACATTTGGTCATCATATCTCCTTGAGTTTCTCTTGGCTATGACAATTTTTCAGACTTTCCTTGTTTTTTGTGACCAAGATAGTTTTGAGGCGTGCTGGTTAGGTATACTGTAGGGTGACCTTATAATGCAATTTGTCTGATATTCTTCTCATAATTGTGCTGGGGTGATGGTTTTGGGGGAGGAGGAGCATAGAGGTGAAGTGCCATTTTCATCACATCCTAACTAGGGTTCATACTATCAACATGACTTATCACTGAGGTTGACCTTGACCACCCAGCTGAGTAGTGTTTGTCAGGTTTCTCTGTTGTAAAGTCGCTCTCCCAGTGACTCTTTCCATACTGTACTCTTTGAAAGGAAGTCACTACACACAGTCCATCCTTAAGGAGTGGCAAATAAAGCTTCCCCTCCTTTAGGGAAGAGTATTTACATATGCAATTTGGAATTCTTATGCATAGGAGATGTGTCTCTTCTCCCCCATTTATTAATTTTTTTCCTGGCTTTCACCATCTACCGACCATTTACTAAACGGTGTAATTCTAGCATACACAGATAGCAGTATCAGAATGTTAACCTAGACCTCCCGGAGAAACAGCTTTATCAGCTATAGCATAGTGCTTTTGTTGAGTTCATTTTACCTTTAGTCCTACCGACTCCGCCCATCTCCAAAGTTACTTAGGTCTGCATCTTTCCTCCTTCCACCTTCAGTTAGGCTGTTTTAAACAGCCTAACTGAAGTACAGTTAGATTCTCTTGTCACAGTCTGCCTTTCTTCCTGGGATCCTCGAACTTCCTACATGATTTTTAAAAAATGTGTACACATTTTATTTCATTTTTTGCACAGTTAAGTTCTATAGGTTTTGACAAACACATAATGTCATGTATCCACCATTAAAGTATCACGCAGAATAGTTTCACCACCCTAAAAATCTCCTGTTCTTCACCTGTAATCCTTCTCCTAACTCCCCTCCTCCCCTGACAACCACTGATCTTTTTACTATCTATATAGTTTTGCCTTTTCCAAAATATCACATTATTGGAACTATCCAATAAGTTGCTCTTTCAGACTGACTTCTTTCATGTAGCAATATGCATTTAATGTTCCTTCATGTCTTTTTGTAGCTTGATAGTTCATTTTAAAAGTTGCTGAACAATACTCCATTGTATGAATATGTCACAGTTTGATTACTCATTCGCTACTGAAGGACATCTTGGTTGTTTCCAATTTTTTGGTGATTATGAAAAAAGCTGCACTAGCCATTCACATGCAGGTTTTTGTGTAGACATAAGTTTTCAAATCAATTTGGTGACAACCTAGGATCACAATTGCTGGATCGTATGGAAAGCTGTGTTTAGCTTTATAAGAAACTGCCAAACTATCTTCCAAAGTGGTTGTACCATATTGTATTCCCACCAGCAATAAATTAAAGTTCCTATTGCTCTGTATGTTCACCAGCATTTGAAATTGTCAGGTTTTTTAATTTTAGCCATTTTAATTAATAGGTGTATAGAACTATTGTTTTCTTTAGGACAGTTACATGTCTTTATTATATAAACATTATAATATTTCTTGTGGGAGTTGGTCTTCAGTTTGCTTCTTGTTTTCACAGAATGTCAAATAGCTGTAGAAATTGTCTAAGAATGATTTATGAAACAAACACTCCCCCATCCCCACCAAAAAAAAGGGTCATTGCCTACATTTCCCAACCAGATTCCAGAGAAAAAAATACGATCTGTTTATTTGACAGTGTAATGCATAAATTTTCTTTTAAGATATAAAAAAGGGCAGACTTTTAAAATACAAATCTCCTTTTGTTTACAAAGTGCTATAAAAATTCATTAAGTATGCTCAGATGTTTATCCTTTGACTTCATATTCCAGCTTATCACAAACAAAAAGTAGCAGTACATAAAGATACTTGAACCAAATTAATCTTGCAGCAATATAATGTCAACATCATCATGAACACCTTGCAAAACTAGCTCTCCCGGTGGTACGTAACAATCTTTCCACGTTTTGCAGCTTTGAGTGTTCTTACCAACACTTCAAAGAGGTTGGCACATTTGTCATCTCAAAAGAGGACCCTACGTTTCACACTTAACCTTCCATCAGCATTTTTTGAACCCAAATGGTAAATTTTCTCCACTAAGAAGTTAACCTCATGATCCACATTCATTGCTGCCTCTCCGCCTTGTTTCCTTTTCCAAGGAACTGGAGCTGTGTTGGTCCGGACTCCCGTTTTCTCCTTCAATGTACTGGGGAGAAAGAGTCACTATTGTTTTAACTACTAATTCCCTAATGACAAATGAGGTTGAGCATCTTTTTCATATGCCTATTTTCCATCTGCATATCTTCTTTGATGAGAAGACTGTTCAGATCTTTTACCCATTTTTAAATTGGGATATATGTTTTCTCATTGTTGGATTTTGTATATTTTGGATACAAGTCCTGTATCAGATATATGTTTTGCAAACATTTTCTCTCCCACCCCACCCCCGCGTCGGCCTCCCGGAGTGCTAGGATTTACAGGTGTGAGTCACTGCACTTGGCTTGCATTCTTTGTCTTAAAGAGAACTTTTGTAGACTCCTCAAACCCTGGAGGCACCCCGCCTGGCACACATTATGCGGGTATGTAAGGGTAAAAAAACTGCACACCAGCCCTGGCAGACCCAGCAGGAGGGATGCATGGATTCAGGGATACAACTGTACAATGCGCAGAGGCATGGGGTCTTCGCCTGGGGGATTCGAAGCCTCCATACAACGACAAGCTCTCGAGCCAATGAGAACGTCTCCACAGTCCGATCCGGCCGGCAAGGGGCGGGACTCCCTCCTGCCTGTCGCCGCGTCTAGAGTCCCGGCTAAGAGACTGCGTCGGGCCCGGGGCGGGCGTGGCTTACGTGTCAGCAGGCTTTCCTGGAAGGCCTTGCGGGGTGCTGGGTCGCCATGACGACCGTGGCTGGGCCGCCTCGGACTCGGTTGGTGACTCCGGCGCGTCGAAGGCCGTGTACCTACCTGGCTGGAGATCGTTCGTGGTGGCTCGATTTCCCGGTAATACGTGGAACAGTAGGAATAACAGTCCCGTGTCCTTTTTTCGCTCGGACGCCGGACAGGCTGCTCCGCGCCGCGCGCTGACTCGGTCCTGTGCGCGCGCCCCCGGGCCGGCCCCGGGGTCGGGAGGGGGCTTCGCAGATCCCTAGAAAGGCTCTGCTCCCCCCGTGGGGTGTTCATTCTGTATCAGTGCGTTGATTTGCTGCAACTTAAAGGCACTTTGAAAAGGAATGGGGGCGGGGTGGGACATCTGTCTGAAGGAGGCTCTGGGCTTGCTGATCCGCGCGGCGGTTTGTCGCGAGGCCGCTGGGGAACGGCCCAAGCCCGCGGTAACAGGGCTCCGTCTTCCTTGCAGAGCCATGGGCAGCAAGAAGAAGGAAGTTGCCCTGCAGGTAAGCCTCAAGGGGCTCTAGCTTCCAGAACTTGGTTGGGGTTGGGGTTGGGGGGCGAGGAGGGTGGTGTGTGCGGGGGCGCAGTATAAAAGTGACCTTCTGTTTGCTAGCAGTATGTGACAGTGTTCTTAAATTTGAATGTTGTTCCCTTCCGTCTTAAAGGGAAAAAACTTATCTCAGATCCCCAGTGATGACAGATTTTTTTGTGCTCTGAAATATATATACACACAAATGAGTAGAAGTTGTTTAATACTTATAGTACTTATACAACTACGCTACCATAAAACCCAAACAGTCAATAAATAAATCTACAAAACCTAGAAAATAAGAACTAACATAATTCGATGTGACTGTTTAACTTTTTTGTTGAAACACAGTTGTAGTTTGCTCAGAGACTATAATATGGGTTCTTTTGAGTCTGGGGATGCATCTGTAACTGTGTGCTCTGTGGAGACCCAGTTTTCCCACCACTGTTCTCTTCAAACACTCACTTGTTAACAATGTCTTGAGATATGTTATGTGCTGCACATGCCATTCTTCATCTGCACCAGGGACAAGTGAATCCATAAAGCCAGCATCTGCTCTTCTTTTCTTCTTGGTCCTGGACAAGAAGTAGTGGTTGGTTCAAAAGGGACGGTCAAAACATGTAGTCATGGGCCCTGGGATTGGGAGGGAGTGCTTTATCATAAGGAGATCATCTGGGTGATCGGTAATACGGGAACATTTCAAAACAAACTTTAAAATGTTTCACAGTCTGCTGGACCCAATAGGATACATACTCCAGCTACACACTCCTCCTGGAGAGTAGGATTTTGGAGGTTTTGAGACATCTGATTTCACTCTTGTAGTCCTCAGTGGGACCAGCAATTTGCAAGTGAATTTCAAAAGCCAGTGATTTAAAAAGGAGGAAAAAGAGAAAGCAGCATTAGTTGAAGGGCAGCCCATGCTGGGTGTGGGAGGGTGGAGTGAGCCAGGGCTTTGGCCTGGAAGTGAGAAGACCTGAGGTAGTTCTTCCAGCTTCTCTTATCCAACTCTGTGACTTTGAATACGTCACATAACCTCTCTGGGCTACAGTCTGCCTACCTGTGGAATGAGGATATTGTGTGAATAATCCCTAAGGGCCTTCCAGCCTTGATATTCTAGGACTCTAGAGTGAGGAAACATTTCATATGTGAATATTGTGTGTGTAATAAATTCTAAGCACCTGGTCCTACCACTTATTGCTGTGTGAATCCTTTCCTCAACCTCCCTGAGCCTCTATATTCTTCATGTAAACCAGAGGGATAGGACATAACCTGCAGAGTTGTGATGAGACTCCTTTAGCTACTTCCTGGCTGGTCTGAATGCTGTCTGTGGTGTCTCTAATATTACTGCTTCATATAATGATCATTTCATGTGTTTATGTCCTATATCCCCTTTGGGAGTAATAAGATTTGTTAGCACTATTATTTTTTTTCATGGGTATTCCTCATATCTCTGAGTACAATGCAGTACTCACAGTATAAGTGTTACTTTTTGCTGAGGGCAGAGGGATAGTGGCCTCCTACGGGGAGTTAGCTACGCTCCCAGCAAAAAATTGGGTCCCTTAGGTAGGGGTTGTTGCAAAGGATAAGAAAATAATAGAAAATGGAAAATAACAGAAATAAAAGAATACACAGAGACGAAGGTATAGTTTTATAGATTTATAAAGATAAAAGGCAAAAAGCGGGGTACTCAGGGGACCTTGTGATTTCTCCGTCAATCACAAGGCCACGAGTGAAGTTTTACATGGGTATTTATAAGTGCAGAGGTCGGCTGTCAGGGGTAACAGATTTACATAATAACAGGTAGTTCATTTTAGGTTACGAGTATTTCAAAAGGCTTCTATAGATCCCTTAACTAACTCTGGTTACAAAAAATTTCAAGGACAAACTTCTAAGTTCTAAGATAAAGCTATTACTTAACAGAAGGGTTAAACAGAGATATAGTGGCTCCATATTTTTTTATCTAGTTATTGCAGATAGAGACAGGTCATCAGAAGTCAAGCAGGAACTGTCCCTTGGGCTAATTATTTTTAGCCGCAGGTATCTGTCTCTCAGGCAGGCATTCTTTGATCAGCTCTCATCCCATGATTCCATGTAGATCTTGCTTTGTCCTTCAAAGCAGGTGAGAACCACAGGTTGAGACCACAGTGTCACCTTGGAAAGCAGCTGCTACTGACCTTTGAGATGCCCTCCTGAGGTGGAGCAGCTTTTGATATGCAAACTAACATGTTCATATATTCTTTCAGGGCAGAGCCCTGCAGAACTTCTCAGACCATTTCTGTCTCTAATATAGTAATATTAATGTATGGAGTGACAGCCTCCCCTCTCCACTCACACTGAGGCATCTGTGTGTCACCTCTCTATAAGGTAAACCCCTTGAGAGCAGTGCCTAGGGTCTGCCAACCTAAGAACCCTCTCCTAGCCCTCAGCAAGGTTATTCGGGGTTCCTTTTGTGATTGAGACAGACAGAAATCATGGATATTAAGAGACAGTCAGCTTGAAAGATGCCACACATTCCTCATTCATTTCCTACCATATGTAGGGTTTAGTAAAGTCTAGATATTTCCCATACTATTCTGCTCTGGCCCTGCTCTTAGGAGTGAGATTCTTCAACTACCCAGAGAGTTCTGGCCCCAGAGCTGGTGTGGCTCACTCCATGACAGGGGTGGGCCACAGAGAGTTGCCTGGGCCTTACAGCTGAGCCTCGGCTGTAGGGGTGGAGGCTCTTCTGAACTCTTCTATCACTTTTCCTCAGCACTGTCATTGTGGGTCCAGGATGACATCAGTGCAACTCTCTTACCTCATTTAAGGCACCAGGGCTTTTCTTGGTTTTCTTCTTTTTTCTTTTTCTCTTACTCCTCATCTTCCCTCCTTCCACCTTCTTCCTTCTTCTTCTTCTTCTTATTTTCATAGAAACAAAAAAGAGAGGAGTATACGTCCCTAAAAAAAGGGACCTTTAATAGAGGATTTGCAGATGTTATGTGTTTCCTGCCCTTATTGCAGATAATGTATCCTGTCTTTTTAAAGGGACACAGACCTTAGCATACCTATATTAAGAACGAGTGATTTTTTTCATAGTCTTTTAATTTACATAGTTTCAAAGTAGCTCCCCACAAAAACTTATTAATTACAAAGGAAAAGTGGAGGAGCCTGACAGACTACCTGAATCCAGAGATTGAAGCGGATATCATGATAATACGGGCAGCGAATGGGCAGATGGACATTGTGTATCACCTGCTAGGATGTAACATTCCAACTAATCCAACCAGTTTCACCAATCCAAAGATGCGCAATCTGAATCTAATCAGGAGGAAACATCAGACACACCCCAACTGAGGGACTGAGGGACAGTCTACGAAATGCCTGACGTGTAGTTTTCAAAAGTGTCAAGGTTATAAATATAAAAGAAAGACTAAAGAACTATTTTGGAAATTCACTAAAGAGACTTCACATAAATCTAGCACATGATTCTGATTCGCTCCTTTGCTCTTCAGGTCATTGTGGGGACGATTGGTAAAACTTGAATGGTGTCTAAGGATTAAATGGTAATATTAGCAGTGTTTTTTCCCCCTGATTTTGATGATTGTATTGTGGTTATGTAGACTAGTGTATTCAGGGGTGATGAGATGTCAGGTTGTTAATTTACTTTCAAATAACTAAAAAAGAAAAAAAAAACCCTAAAATGTTCTTTATACTGTACTTGCATATTTTCTGTAAGTTTGAAATTACTTCAAAGGAAAAACATTATGCAAAAATATATACTATTAATGGAGAGAGCTAATATGTATTTCTCCTTGTATTTCATATCTGACGAAACCAGAACTCTTTGTAGATAAGGGAAAAAACGCAAATGAATGGCAATAAATTCAACTCAACTATTTGTGATATTGAATGAAAACACAAATTGCAAAGGGAAACCTGTAGTATAATACTATTTATGTACATTTTAAGGATACAAAACAATTTTATATACTGTTTTTGGACAAACAACATGTAAAATTATTTTTTAAATGCCTGAGAAGAGTGCACATCATTCTTAGGATAGTGGTTTTTCCTGGGGAGGGAAGCAGGAGGACAGGGAAGGAGAAAAGAAGACTGGGGAAAGAGCACAACTGTATTTGTAAGTATGTCAGAGAAGAGAGGAGAAATCTAGAGCAAATACAGTACATTTTTTCACCATCTGTGCCCTCAGTAATTCAGCCTGTGATCCTCTTTGGCTTTAGGTCAACATCAGCACCCAGGAGCTTTGGGAGGAAATGCTCAGTACCAAAGGACTAACTGGTAATTTAAAATAAAATAACTTTTTAGATCCATTCTTTGAAAAATTGTTAAATGATGTGCTGAATCATGGAGAGAAGGGCTGCAGTGAGCACTATTTTCCTCTTACCTTGAGCGTCATGAACAACAGGTGATTTCTTTGTGTCCGTGTGTGTATGTATGTGTGTGTATATGAGTATGTATGTGTGTATATATATATATATATATATACACATATATATATCTGGCTTGAACTTCAGTAAATTCAGTTCAGGAAACAAATCAGTATTGTTTTGGAGCTGAATGCCATACTCAGGGTTGTTTGGTATTAAGTAACAGAACCTCTTCTAATTACCTGAGGCACAAAAGGAGAATGTATTGGAAGGAATATGGGGATCTCTTGGAACTCAAAGAATCGAAGGAGAACCAGGCATCACAAGGGCTTGGAACCTGGGACTGTGGTCATTAGGAAACAGCACAGCCGCTGTCCACGGGCCTCCTCATACCTAGCCTCCTTGTATCAGTTATGTGTTGCTGCATAGCAATCTATCCCAAAACTTAGTGGTTTAAAACAACAATCACTTGGCCGGGTGCAGTGGCTCACGCCTGTAATCCTAGCACTCTGGGAGGCCAAGGCGGGTGGATCGCTCAAGGTCAGGAGTTCGAGACCAGCCTGAGCAAGAGTGAGACCCTGTCTCTGCTAAAAATAGAAATAAATTATCTGGACAACTAAAAAAATATATATAGAAAAAATTAGTCGGCCATGGTGGCGCATGTCTGTAGTCCCAGCTAGTCGGGAGGCTGAGGCAGCAGGATCGCTTGAGCGCAGGAGTTTGAGGTTGCTGTGAGCTAGGCTGACGCCACGGCACTCTAGCCAGGGCGACAGAGTGAGACTCTGTCTCAAAAAAAAAAAAACAACAATCACTTATTATCCCAGTTTCTTTGGGTCAGAAATCCAGGTGCCACTTAGTTGGGTGCCTCTGGCTCAGGGTCTCTCACCAAGATGCAGTTAAGGTGTTAGATGGGGGATCTTAAAGCTCAACCAGGAGCAGATTTGCTTCCAAGCTCATTTATATGGCTGTTGGAAGACCATAGGAGACCCACTTCCAGGTTCACTCATGTGGATTCAAGTCCTCACTGGCTGTTGGCCAGAGACATCGATTTCTTTCCCTCAGTATCTCCATGAGGCTACTCACAACCTGGTAACTTGCTTCCCCCAGAGCAGGGCTTTGAGAGAGAGCATAAGATAGAAGCCATAGCCTTTTGTTAACCTAATCTCAAAAGTGACATCCATTGCTTTTGCCATATTCTATTCATTAGAAGCTGGTCACTGGGTCCTGGCCATACCCAAGGGCAGGGGATTACAGAAGGGCGTGAGTACCAGGAGGCAGGCATCACTGGAGCCATCTTAGAGGCTGCCTACCACCCCTTCTTTCCCACTATTCCTTTCTCCTTCTCATTCATTATGGATATCTCTGGGCTCAATTCTTCTCTCTACAGATATGCCTGCTCAGTCTGCTTGTATCTGCTCTTATCCCTCCCCTTTCCACCCCGCCATGACTTCAGCATTCCTCATGATGCAATCTGTCTTTCCAGCCCCTTCACCTACTGTTTCCTGAGGTGTATCCTGAGCTCTATTCTCTCCTTTTTTTAAAAAATTTCATCCAAGTACAGTATATGACCTTCGAGTGAGCTCTAACATGTTTCCTGAACATGCCAGAAGTTTTTCCACTTCTTCACTTTATCCATGTCATTCCTATTGCCTGGAATATCGTGGCTCTATCACCACCTGTAGAAATCTTTCTCATTCTCAGGCCCACCTCAAAAGTAGCCTTCCTGTATGGAATCTTTCCTGACCTCTGTATGGTCACTTCTTCCTGGCAACCCCTGGGGCACTTGGGGTGAGACTGTCTCAACTCCCCCAGCACACCCCCAGCTTGGTGTGGCCCCTGTGGGCAAAGTCCATTGTGGTTTTCCCCCCAGACTCTAAACACATGGCATTGGCTTTTTCATCTCAAATCTGTAGTAGACTTGCCCAGCCTGGGGTCGAGTGGGTGCTGAATGTACGCTGATCCAGTTGTGTGGGTGTAAGTATTCCCACACTCTACTATTTGAGGGATTATACAGCCTTTTGATGGTGCCAAGTTTAACTATTTTGTCCATGTGTTTTGTCTGGGCAACTAGAACATGGCTCCAGGGTGAAACAAACCATTACTTCTGTTTCTTTAACAGTGATAAAAGCACCATTCCATAATTTTTTGAGAATTTGTTGTGTACCAGCTATCCTGCTAATCACCCTATGTGACAGTGGCTAACACCCACTGAGCATTGACCCTCTGCCAAGCCTGCTCTAGGTGGGTCAGGGGCCTTTGTTGACTGAAGACAGCAGGGGCTCCTGTCTGCTCCTTCTCATCAGGCAGTCTAGAGGAATACATATTCCCATAGAGCACGTACATATGAATGTGTGTGTGTGTGTGTACTCCTGAATAGACTTTTGCATGTTTGAAGGCAGATGAAAATGAGCCAGCAGAAGGCAAGAGTTTCAAGACGGCGTTTGACTTTGGAAGCAAATTTCTGCTAGTTCTAGAGAGAGGGAAGAGTGTGTGTGTATACACACACACACACACACACACACACACACACACACACACACACCCCATTGTCCCTACCATTCCTTCCAGGCACCTTCTCTGCTTAGCTTCCTCTCTTTCAGAGTCAAACTCTTCAAACACTTCCTCTCCAGTCCCCACCCCCCACTCCCTCCACAACCTCATGAGGTGTGCCTTTGTCCCTACCACTCCTCATTGGGAGCACAAGAGAGGGTGAGAAGCTGGTAGAAATGATGCGTGAACTACCAATACAAATACTGCACAGAGATTTTAAGCTAAGCCCTAACATTTTTGGGGGGGCATTGGAACCTACCCTTCTCAATGGGCCTGTATACAGGGCCTTCTAAGTCTTCAGGAACTTTTTTCTGGCTTGACCCAAATGCCGTTCTTGGCCTCACCCACATGACTGTCACGTATTGAAATCCAAAAATCTGTCAATTGTGAAACTCTTGTCCTCAGAGAAGCCCAGAGCCTTACGCTCTACCTGGATGCTGAGGGGGACCGAATCCCTCTCTCCTGCCCCTACTCTCCTCTTGGGGTTCTCGTTGCTCTTCTGGTCACTTGTCTTAGAGTTTCTGATTGGTACTGGTACTGGTTGGTACCCAGCCTGTCTAGAATTGAATTTGCTTTCCTTTCTCCCTGCAGCAATCTCTCCCCTGCCCCACCCAGTTCATTTTCTCTGCCAGGCTCAAAGGTGAAGTCCTTTTCACATTTACTTGATTTTCCTCACCAGTGTTTCTGCTTCCTTTTCAAGGCCTCATGGATTCCTCCATTCTTTCCCCTCTGCCCACACTGCCACCCCTGTATCTGGCTTCCCCATTCCTCCCATACACAGCTTGGTTCTCACTTTCTGCTAAATTATGCTGCTTGGCTGAACCAACCAACACTACTGAATCTGCACATCTTGCCTCTTTCTGATGGGTCTGTGGGGCTGTGGCATCAGATAACCCGGTTCTACTGTGCAGTGGTTTAAATGCGGCCCCTCCAAAATTCAGGTATTGAAACTTAATGGCCAATGTGATCGTAATAAGAGGTGGAGCCTATAAGAGGTGATTAGGTCATGAGGGATCCTCCCCTCCTAAATGGTATTAGGTGTCCTTATAAAAGGGCTTGATTGAGGGAGTTCACCCCTCTTGCCCTTCTCCTTCCCTCACGTGAGGACACAGTATTCTCCTCTGGAGGATGCAACCCTCACCAGAGAACCAAACCTGCCCGCACCTTCATCTTTCACTTCCCAGCCTCCAGAACTGTGAGAAATACATTTTTCTTCTGTATAAACTACCCAGTCTGTGGTATCTTGTTATAGCAACATAAATGGACAAAGCCATTTTGCTTGAGAATTTATTTTTTCACCTTAGGCCAGTTACTTCACTTCTTTGAGCTTTAGCTTCCTCATCTCTACTGTAGAATAATGTTAACCATCTCCCTGAGCTTTTTGAGGAAAAAGTAAAGTGGAGATGCCCTCTTTCACCTCAAGAAATATTAGCTCCCTCTCCTCTCTTGAACTTTCTGTGGATTCTCTTTGCCTGGTGAATCAGGGTGGAGGTCCTCAAACCAATTCCAGACTCCTCCAGTGACCCCTGCCACTGCTTCCCACTGCACAGCCCCCATGCGGGCTGCCCACCTGTGCCTGGCTGCCCATGCTTCACCCCACGGCTTCCCTCCTTGCCCGTCCGAGCCTGGCCCTTCCACAATGCCCAGTGCAAGTCGCCCCTCCTCCGGGAAGCCTTCCTTCTCTGGATAGTACAGAACAGTGTTAATACAGTGCCACCACTTCTGTGCTAATTTTAATAATGGCAATTTATACTGTGTTATACTGGTAGTTTCACTTGATGTGAACATTTCGAAATGTGAATCTGCACAGAGTAAAATTACAAACTGCACACTATTAAAATTGGCAGGCTTAATAAATTATAAACAATTTCTATGCTATCTCCCAATGACTGCACTGCTCTAGCTGTTGAACAGAATGCCCACCTGTGTGGATTAGGTCCGAACTCTAGGAGTGTTGAGGTCTTTTGGAAGACATCTCTCCTCCAAACTGTGGCCACCAGTATGTCACAAGCCAGCCCTTGTTGCCGCTTCATGACTGGGCTGGGCAGGCCCTGCATGCAGCCGGTGCGCAGGGGCGGGCTTGGCTTGCTTGGCTTCCCTCCAGGTCTCACGGTTCAAGACAATTAGATGATGAAAGGGTTCCCTCACACCCAGCCCTGACATGCACTACAGATAGGGACCAACGAAAAACAAAAGGTATTCAAGTTTCCATTTAGCTGTCAGTTTCACGTTCCGGGAGAAACATGTTGATTTTATAAAGTAAATAAAACTCTACTTCACCCAAAGCAAGTGGCTTTTAATTCATCAGGGGAAAAGGTGAAAGCTGTATTTATTATCCAAGTAGATAAGAGTCAGTTGTATGCTGCTAGGTCACGACAGTGACTGCTTCCTTTTAGAATAGTTTTAGTCCAATTCCAATACTCATTGAGGACCACTCTGTGGAGGCCCGACCCTGAAAAACCCTTAAGGTAAAGGAGCCTTGTTAAGAAAATGGTTTTCTGCTGTACTTAATTCATTATGCTTAGAATTCAGAATACTGAGTTCATAAGAATGAGGGCTAGCTGTGTTTCCATGCTCACTCTAATGTGATGGGGTAATAAATCCCTTTAAACCATTAAATACCTCTGCAAACAGATGTCCATTTGAGGGGGTTAGAGTATGCAGGTATAAATTTTGCCTGACGTGGTGGGCGCTGGTGCCTGCTGAACGCTCCTGCTTCTTGGTTCCACGCAGTTGTTGATGTCTATCAAGGCTGGTGTGGCCCCTGCAAACCTGTGGTGAGCCTCTTCCAGAAGATGAGGATCGAGGTCGGCCTGGACCTTCTGCATTTTGCATCAGTAAGATTCTCTCAGTAAGAAGTCATACAACATTGTAAAAAATTTTTTAAATTTTAAAACAACAAGGAATAGGAAGTGTGAAAGGCCTTTTTCAGACCATTGAAAAGACATTGGTTGTGGATTTTCTGTTGATCTCTGTCATGATACTTTATAGTTTCTCTAGATATGGAGGTCCCTACCCCTCGTCCCTACATCAGTCTTGTCTTGGGAGGTTTCTTGATGCTGTATGAAGGGCAGAAATACACATCACTCAAATGCATATTCTCCTTCTTGGCTTGGGAACACTGTTTACTGAAATGGCACTTTCAGAGCACAGGGTTTCAAGATTTCCATCCTCTGCTCCATAAAGGGAAACTTTTAGCCAACATGTACTTGGATTAATGTATGGAAATGGGACTAAATTGCAGAGAAGTTTGCAAGAGACACTGTTGGTGCATGCATGGGTTTGAGGTTCAGAGACAGTGAAGACAGTGGAAAATACACCTTACACTAATCTCTCAAGGGGCTGGACTTCAAGGACTTTGTAGTTTTTCCCTTGGGAGTCAGTTTGATGCTTCTGTAGAGTGTAGGAGATCCGTTATGTCCATGTGCAGCGGGGGGTTTATTAGAAGGCAACGTCTGAGGACCTGCACCTCAGTTGTTGTCAGTGGTGGCTGCAGAAGGACGTCAGACGGTAGAGCTCCCTTGGCCTGGTGGAGTAGCTGGGTGGGGGGCAGGAGAAACTCTTGCTTTCTCCTTGTTTGATACTTTAAGATAATGCACTGCCCACAGTTTTTCCCAATGTGTTGGCAAGAGATCTCTGCTTAGAAGGAGAAGCATGAGAGCAAGTCAGGGCTTCACCTGGGGAAGGCAGTTGGGGGGCGTGCAGTTCCCTGTGCGGATCTCCCACTGATAGGGGGAGATGCACCCACTGTGCCTGGGTACCTGCTGACAGCTTGTTTTCTTTAGGCAGAAGCAGATCGTCTTGATGTCCTTGAAAAATACAGAGGGAAGTGTGAGCCAACCTTTCTATTTTATGCAGTAAGTACATTTTCAGAATCAGAGCTATTTGATGGTTGCAAATCATTAGAGTTCAAATAGATGCATCTCACTGGCATTAATTCTCCCTGGCAGCCACCAAGAGGCCTCACTGATCCAAACAAGTGATACTGTTTTCTCTGATGCCTCCTCTAGACCGTTTTTATTACGTTGGCGACATATAGACCCTTCCTAAGTCTAAGTGGTGAAGCAGGCCCTTGCTCCCCAGGAGGCAGATAACACAGTTTCCTTGGGGTCACAGTTGGCTGGGCTAGCCTTCCTGACTGGTCGTACACAGGGAAAGAATGTGAGTCATTCAAATGCACATGCTCCTTCTTGGCTCATAAACACTCTAGACTGAGTTTTCACTCTCAGAGCACAGGGTTTCAAGATTTCTATCCTCTGCTTCATAAAGGGAAACTTTTAGCAAAAACAAATACTACTTTATGGAATAGACAAGCCCTGCATTCACCTTTATTTAATCATAAGATATAAAGATATGTTTACAGAAAGTCAGAAATGAGAGGGACTATTGAGGAAAGCCAAGTGGTATAGTGTTTTGAAAATATAATTTGGATGTCTTTGGGTGTGACATCCATGGTGTGGCTCCATGCCCCTAGGGCCCACTGTTTCACACCTGGCTTCCGAGGTGTAGGCCACTGCCAGGCCCTGATGGCAACTGATTGATGTAATACTCCTGACCCAGACCAGCTCCCTCCCTGTACAGTCAGGGAAACTGCGATCTACTCACCCAGGTCTCCTGATGGCCAGGTCAGGGTTGTTTGGTTTGGAAAACTTCTGCTTCCTGGCCTCAACACTGCAAGTATTACAAATTGGAAGCTTATGATAAAACATTATTTGAGCTATGACTTTTAGTAGGGAGACTGAAGTTATACAGTGTAAGAGGATTGGGGCGGGGAAGGGAGGGAGAAGTGGGAAGAAGATCAGAGATGAGCGTGGCCCCAACCACACTTGACATCAGAGCTCAGTTGCAGAAATGGGATCGTTATCATGATGGTTTGATTGCTTGAGCCTGTAGCGATTAAAGCATATATCATAGTCAACCGTGTGAGAACATGAGCCACCATGTCTAACCCTATTGTGGTCCACTGAGGGATAGGATGGAAATGGAAGGAGGACCCACTCTGCTTGAACTTCTCCATCTCCAGATGCACTCCTTTGTTAGTAATACATATAGAGACTTTTGAAAAAGTTAAAGCAGAAAACTCATGTTCACCCCAAACACCACCTCCACTGTGAAGTCTTCCCTGACCACCCCAGATGGTGCTGGGAATTCTTGCCTCAGCTTTCAAGCACCTTGTAAGTTCCCCTATTAAAGCAATTATCTTATTGTAATTGTTTCTTTGGCATGACCACCTCTCTCCCCATTGCGCTGCCCCTTCATGAAGGCTTCAACTATGTCTTTTCGTGTTTAGTGTTTATATTCTCTGCCTCTGCCTTGGTGCTTGGCATAGGAAGTGCTCAATAAGTGTTTTTTGAGGGAATAAGCCACGCGTAAGCCACATGTAGTTACTCACAACTTATTGTGCACTGCTCCTCCCTTAACTAACTGTGGGTTGCTTTGCAAGGAGCAGCATGGAGTAGAAAGTAGAGATCAGAAAAAGAAATCATTGTAGAAACAGGAGCAGACCTGAGGGCGTCCTTCCAGGGGAGGGCAGCAGAGGTGAGCACCCCCCACACTGGAAGTGGATGATGGGGGTTGTGGGCCTGGGGTCGATGGACCTTGACCTTGGGCACATTCCTAAACACTTTTGCTGTCTCTTGAAAGGGATTAATATCTGTGAAGAGGATTTCATGTGATTTGTGATGTATTCTAGGGAGGAGAACTGGTGGCTGTGGTTAGAGGAGCAAATGCCCCACTGCTGCAGAAAACCATCCTAGACCAGCTGGAGGCTGAAAAGAAGGTGCTGGCTGAAGGCAGAGAACGGAAAGTGGTAACCAGAAGTCACTTCTAAAAGCAGCAAACTCATAAGTGGTTGTAGGGCAAGGCTAGCAGTCCCCACCCACGACCTGATTTTCCTAGAGAGTCCCACCTGCATCTGTCCCTCATGGAGGGCCTCGGGAGAGCACACAGTGCTCACGGTGATACGTGTGCATTTTGAAGCCACCTTTTAAAAGTCATCCCTTTCATCCAGAGCCCTTTAACTTTATTTACCCGTTTTCTGTTCATCCCCACGTCAATCTTAACAAACAATGAATTCAGAAATGAAAATAAAATTGTGGAATTGAGTAGTGGGTAGGAGAATTCAGCTACCCAAGCTCCTCTCAGCCTAAGGGTGAAATCTCTCCTGGTAATCTACCCCTCACATTTCTGAAGGTTTTACCTGTGAATCCAGAGGGTTCATTTTTTAAATTTAGAAATTAAGCTCTGACATTATTATGAGAAATAGAATCGGCATAGCTTGTGATTTTAATAAATTATTTCCATAACATAAGACTGCAAGTTCTTCACAAATAATTGGCTGCCTTTGAAATTGATACACCTTAGGTAGAGAGGTATTTCCTGGTGCTTTGAGCATCTGCCAAACTTGCCTTAACATTGTTCAGTGTTCATTATTTAAGTTTTTGTACTCGATTACAAATAACAACACCCCATTTTTATAAATGGATTAGAATCAAATTGTATTTTTTCCCCAAGAAAACTGGCAGTTTTCCCCCAAGAAAGAAAATTGCAAACGTTTACACTTTCATGTGCCTCCTCCAGGGGAAAATGATCTTTCTTTACTACCTCTTTGCACTGTGTAGCTCTGTAGCCAATCTTTTAATATTTTCTTGCATTTCAATTCTTTCTTTGCCTTGTCAACTCTGTCTCTACTTCATGCTTGTGAAAAGAGGCAGAATGTAAAACTTAAGCATGGATTTTGTCTTCTAGCTCTCTCATCCTCCACCATCACCCAACTACCAAAAACGATCTTGTAACATTTGCAAGACTGAAAATTTTGACCTTCTCCTCCTCCTCCTTCTTCTTTTTTTTTTTTTTTTTTTGGCTCTGTATTTTGGACCTATACTTTTTGGATTTCTGCAGGTTTTTGAAGGTTTTAGTAGTAATTTTAATTAGCTAACTACTTTCTGTTCATGACCAATTTGTACCAGATTAAAGATGAGGCTCTTTCTGATGAAGATGGATGTTTTTCCCATGGAAAGGACATTGGTGAAGATGAGGACCTGGGTGAGTACAGAACCAGTGAGCAAGGCAAAAAGGCAAAGCAGACTCAGATTGGATATGTGTTTTAAATATATGAATAATCAGTTTTTTCAGCAATCTAAACTCTGGAAAGATTTTTAATGGTTCATAATCCCCCTGTTTGGGGGGTACATAAGATAATTTGATACATTGATATAATCAAATCAAGGTAATTAGAATAGCTGTCACCTTAAATATTTATCTTTTCTTTATGCTAAGAACATTTGGATTACTTTCTTCTAGCTATATTGAAAGGTACAATAGATTAATGTTGACTATAGTCGCCCTACTGATCTCATAAACACTAGGCCATGTTTCTTCTGTCTGCATATTCGTACACATTAATCAACCTCTCTTCATCTCCCCCTGCCACTTCCATTTCCCAGCCTCTGATAACCACCAATATATTCTCTATTTTCTTAAGATCCACTTTTTTAGTTCCCACATATGAATGAGAACATGCAATATTTGTCTTTCTGTGCTTGGCTTATTTCACTTAACATAATGAGACCTCTAGTTCCATCCATGTTGCTGCAAGTGATAGGATTTCATTTTTTATGGCTAAATAATATTCCATTGTGTATACGTACCACATTTTCTTTATTCATTCTTTCACTGATAGTTGCTTAGGTTGATTCCAAGTCTTGGCTATTGTGATTAGTGCTGCAGCAAACATTGTAGTACAGATATCTTTTTGATATATTGATTTCCTTCCTTTTGGATATACAATTAGTAATGGAATTTCTGGATCAAATGGTAGTTCTATTTCCAGTTTTTTGAGGAACCGCCATACTGTTTTCCATAATGGTTATACTAACTAACATTCCCACCAACAGTGTATGAGGGTTCTCCTTTCTCCATATCCTTGCCAGCATCTTTTATTCCCTCTCTCCTTCATACCAGGCTTCCTGAACCTTGTCCACACTCTGGGCCACCTTCACCTTCCACTCATGCCCCGCCCTGCTGCAATCTGGCCTCTGTGCTCACTGCTCCCTGAAATGGTGTCCACCAGTGGCACCCGTGACTCTCTTGGTGTCAAATCCAATGGGTAGTTTCCAGTTAATATCCTGCGGGCCCTTTTCACAGAAGGGGATGATGTTCACAGTGTCTTCTTAAACCTTTTTCTTTTCTGGTTTCTAAGATGCCGTGATTTTTCTTGTGTTCCTTCTACATCTCTGGCCTCTCCTCAGTCTCTCCTTCACTGGCTTCTTTTCTTATACTCCCCTTTCAAGCTGGAGCTCCCCAGGCCCATGCTTTGGTCTCTTCTCTTCTCACTCTATACCTCTAGGTGATTTCATTCATGAGTGAATTTATAATGGAATTTGTTGTAAGAATCTCTTAAAAGTCTAAGTATTCATAATAATAACATGTTAGAAATAGTAATCATAGAAAAAATTAACAGATTTGTTGCTTTAAATGACTTACACCTTTGTAGTACATGTGTTTGAGAATTTCAGAGTAAAAAACCCCCCTTCAGTGTAGTTATCATCTTGTTTCATAGCAACACAACCAGTGTAAAAGTTGAGAAGCAGAAAATAGGTGATGGGGGAATGCTGATTCTGTGGAAAGTGTAGGTAAGTCACCAAGGCCAAGTTCATGTAAGCAGGGGGACAGTGGAGATGGGCTCATGGACTAGACACAGACCTCCCCACAGCTAAGCAGGAGACTCTGATCCCACGGCCCCTCCCTCATTGCAACAGCTGATTGGACTGGTGGGCATGGGCCCAAGGGCAGTCAACCAGTAGGCCTCGGCTCAAACCAATGAGCTGGCTAATCTGGCTGCTCTCAGGAGAATTTGAACTGAGACAGAGAGGACTGAAGCTGCAGTTTGGTAGTATGTGCTGGAGGTGAAAAGTCATGAAAAGTCATGTAGACTCAGGGCCTGGGCAGCCATTATTGGCCACATGGCAGGAAAGGTGATAAAAAGCAGAGGCAGAGGAGCCAATAAGTGACAGGAGAACAGGGCAGATGGTAGTTAAAGGCTGAGCATCACGAGAGGGTGATAAGAAGGGATGAGGGTGGCTAGGTCTGTGTTGCCTCCATTCCAGTGGCTTCTCCCACTGCCTCCTTCACTGCCCCCCTCTCCCCAGCCCAACTCATTCAGTCGTTTTGGGGCCTTTGCTTCCAAGCAGTCTTTCAGCAAGGGCCTTCCCCATGCTCCCACTACCTGACCTTCCCAGGTTCATTGAGCCAGTCTTTGAGCCTCTCACAGCCAGGTTGAGGATAAGGTCTGGAGCCAGACTGGCACAACCACTAGAGTCCAGACTTGCAGGGACACAGCTAAGAGGCCAGGGGAGGGAAGCCTGGGAGCCCAAGCTTGTGCCTGGCACTTGGTGCAATGGAGTCTTGTGTAGAGGCTACGTTGTCCCTGCAGATGGCCTCCTGAGAGCCCCAAACACCAGCATCTAACAGCACTGTTCTTTGGCTTCTTTAGTTTCCTCAGAGAAGGCCTGTACCGTGGCGATCATTAAACCAGATGCAGTGGCCCATGGTAAGACTGATGAGATTATTATGAAGGTAAGAGAGACACTTACCCTGCACGACTGTCCTCATGTTCTCTGCGGTGGACAACAGGGAGGAACCCTGGGCAGTGGCATTCTAGTGTTGAAAGAAGACTTTGAAGGAGTTGTAACTCAGATTCCATTCAAGTAAATTAAAATGTTAAATCTGATTGGGGCATAAACTGTGGGCATGATGGTCTCCACAGCTTTTAATGTTGCCCTATCTTTATTTTTTACCTTTCAACTAAGTGACAAATAATAGAATATTATTAGAATGTATGTAGAATCTATATTGCCATAGAGTAATAAATGCTATGATGAAAAGATAAAGCAGGATGAGAGGGCAGAGATGGCAGGAGGAGGCATTATATTGTGGGTGGTCAGGAGAGGCCTCTCTGAGGTGAGTTGTGAACTGGCAGTGAGGAAGAAGCCATCTGGAGAATTGTGTTTCAGTCGGAGGAAATAGCTAGTTTAAGAGCCTGGAGGCAAAGAGGCCAGTGTGGCTCTCAGAGAGGAGATGAGGTTACAGATAGGTGTGTTGGGGAGTGGGGAGTTTGAGTTTGGCTGTGTCCTGCACACGATGGTGGACATTGAACCTGGGCTGGTCTGACTTTGGAAAAGCCCCACCTCCCTGCATCCCCTCAATGCGGATGGGTTCCTGGCCCTGATCCCTCCTGGCTGCTTCACAGTTGGGAGGCTGTCAGCATTTTAATTATAGCTCCCAGTTCTCAATGGTTTACAGCTCAACCATAACACAGGCCCTGGGCAACACGTGGCACCTCTAAGTGGTTTACTTGCTCACCATTTCTATATTTACTGCCATTTAATGCTTGTTGGCCAAGTTTTCAGAGAGAAAAAGAAGGAGAAATTACAGGGCAGCAGGGAGATGGTTAAGTTTTGTGTTTTTGGTTTTGGTTTTAAACACACAGACCTATTTTCAGTTGTTTTCTGAGATTATTTCCCAGCCCTTAAAGGTTACAGGGCAGCTGTTGGTGTAGTCTGTGACAGTGCTCCCTTCTAAGCAAGAGAGCGGAATCCCTTGCAAAGCTGCCCTCTTCTCTTTAAAGTGTATGGGTGCTTCCTGGTGAGAGAGCTAGGTTTAAAGGATACCCTGTGCTGAGTGTGTGACTAAGGGACAAAGGAATCAATTACTTAATATTTTACATGATATGGGCTGGGCTTCAGGCCAGGGGTTCCCACCCCCTCTGCCTGAAGATGGGATCCCCTCTGAGACCTCCTGCCAAGGGCTCTGTAGGGCTTCTCAAACTTTAGCGTGTCCATGAATCACGTGGGGAGTGTGCGGAAATGCAGCTTCTGATTCTGTGTGTGGGACTGGGGCGGGACCTGATATTCTGCATTTTCAATCAGTTCCCAGGTGCTGGAGATGCAGCCAGTCCAGGAATCACACTTTGAGCAGCAAGGATTTTGACCAGCGCTGTCCAACTGAAATATTATGTAATATAAACCATGCATGTAATATAACATTTCCTAGTTGCCACATCAAAAAGTTAAAAAAGAGGTGACATTAAATTTAATAAGATATTTTATTTAATCTAATTTATCCCAAATAGTATCATTTCAATATGTAATCAATATAAAATACTGAGATATTTTACATTTTTTTCTGTAGTAAGTCCTTGAACTCAGGCGTTTGTTTTATACTTATAGCACATCGCAGTTCAGACTAGCGACATTTCAAGCACTTATGTGGCTGGTGCTTCCCGGTTTGGAGGGTGCATATCTAAATCTGGCTCGAATACCTCTGGTGATAGGGAGCTCATTATCTTCTGGGAAGTCCACTCAGTAGCTGCATGATCTGAGTTGGGAGTTGACCAACTCAGATGGGAAGACCCAGCTTCACTATCTGGGTCCCCAAGCCAATTGGTATTCTCCGTGCGTCCAGGACCTCACATCCTCTGCCCTCAGATAGGACACAGCAGCCCTGAAATGGCTTCTGTGGTTGTTCTTTTTTTTTTTTTTTCAGCATATTATGGGGATACAAATGTTTAGGTTACATATATTGCCTTTACCCCACCCGAGTCAGAGCTTCAAGCGTGTCCATCCTCCAGATGGTTCGCACTGAATCCATTAGGTGTGGTCTTAATCTCTCCTTTTCTTGTTGAAGAACCTGGCTCAGAGACTCTCAGTGATATCCTCAGGGAGACCCAGCCAGGAGATGGTAGAGCTGGGACTAGAAGTCAGGACTTTGAAACCTCTTCTCCCTCTGCTGTAAGAGGCTCTGGTTCCTCCAGTGAGACATGGTTTCAGAGGACCTTCTAAGTCCACTCACACTCCTGCAGACACGCCTACTTCTATTTGTGTGGTCAATTACACATTTATAGATTTGCGTATGTTGAACCATCCTTGCCTCTCTGGGATGAAGCCCACTTGGTCATGATTTTTTTTTAATAAGCACCTGAATTCAGTTTGCTAGGATTTTATTGAGCATTTTTGCGTCTATATTCATAACAGATATTGGTCTGTAGTTTTCTTTTTTTGTTGATTCCTTTCCTGGCTTTGGGATCAGGGTGATATTGGCATCGTAAAACATGTTGGGGAGGATCCCTTTCTCCTCCATGTTGTGGAATAACTTCTGCAGGATAGGCATCAGTTCTTCCTTGTATGTCTGGTACAATTCAGGTGTGAAACCATATGGTCCGGGACTTTAATTTTAGGGAGATTTTTTATTGCTGGTTCAATTTCGGTACTTGATATTGGCCTGTTCAGGAATTCTATATCTTCCTGATTGTGCCTGGGGAGGCTGTGTGTTTCTAAGAGTTTGTCCATTTCCTCCATGTTTCCAAGTTTATGTGTGTAGAAATTTATATAGTACTCATAGATGATATTTTGTATTTCCATGCTATCAGTTGTAATTTCTCCTTTTTCATTCCTGATTGACCTTATTAGAGTCCTTTCTTTTCCGCTTCTGGTTAATCTAGCGAAAGGCATGTCAATTTTGTTTATCTTTTCAAACAACCAACTGTTTGTTTTATCAATCTTCCATATACCTTTTCTGTTATCAATTTCATTTACTTCTGCTCTGATCTTGGTTATTTCTTTTCTTCTGCTGGGTTTGGGATTGCTTTGCTCATCCTATTCCAGTTCTTTGAGACAATTCATTACATTGTGATCTTCCCATCTTGTGGATATAGGCATTTATGGCTATAAGTTTTCCTCTTAGGACTGCTTTAGCTGTGTCTAACAGATTTTGATAGGTTGTGTCCCCTGTTTCATTTAGTTCTAAGAATGTTTTGATTTCCATCTTAATTTTCTCCTTAACCCAATAATCCTTCAGCAGTAGTTGTTTAGTTTCCATGACTTTGTGTATACATACATGTTTCTGTTGGAGTTAAGATATATATTTTTATTAGCACAAAGGTACATCACAACTTTAATTATCTAAAGGCCTTAATCAAGCCTGTGGCTTCACAATAACCAGCCCTCCATGTCAGGTGTTGATGACAGTGACTCAAAAGTTACATTTGGGATTGGGGTCTTTGTGAAGTGCAAATTCTGACTGGCTTTTAGAAGAAGCCATGACAAAGAGGAGTCAGTTTCTATCTCTAGTATTTTTTGTTCAATAAAAATCCATAGTCTCAAAATATGAAATTCTTTGTGCCTTGATTTACTAAAGCATAGCAGAGCCCCAGCCTGAGATGGAGCTGAACTCACCATGAGTCCTGGGCATAATGAGACCTGTCAAGAGACCCAGCTCTGCCCTAAGGGTCTATTCACATGGGAATCCAAGGAGCTTTGGTGGGAGGTTAGAGGGTCTGAGTTATGGGAAGAGAATGTTGGAATTTGGTACTTTCTTAATTACTCTCACCACTAGTTGGAGCACAATGAGGCTTGAGTTTCCCAGAAGCTGGGGGAGGCAGATACAGTGGGCAGAGCGGGCAAATAACAGCAGGCATAAAGCAAAGGGGGAATATACGCTAAATACCACTAGAGCTAACCTCAGAAAGCAGGAAGAGTCTCAGGTAACTAAGTCCAAAGTGAAGGGACTTAAGAAAAGTTAAATACAGTGGAATGAAAATGTGGTCAACATCGTTAGTCAGACACACAGTGAGATACCACCACACACACAACAGAATCGATAAAAGTTAGCAGTTCCAAGATGTAGTAAGGATGTGGAGTAACTGGAACTCTTATATACTACTGAATGTAAATTGGCACAACCACTTTGGAAAATTCCTTGGCAGTATTATCATAATACCTTGTGATACCTCATGATCCAACAGTCTCATCCCTAGGTAATAAAATAAGTGTATATTCCAGTTTCCATTCCAAAGAGCTTGGGAGTCATCAGTCTGTCCTAACAATTCAAAAGCTGAAGAAACAAAAACCAACAACTCTACCTAGATCTGGCAGAGAAGGTAGGTGACGGGGCAAAGTGTTGCCCCTAAAATTCGAGACAGACAGACACGCAAATACAGAGATCACAACTTACAAAAACAGAACAAAGTAGAAACCTCCCCAGGACCCAGTACCAGGTCAAGAAAGCCTCGCCTGCAGCTGACACATTGCTGGAGGCTCCATGTGAATAAGTCTGACAGTTAAACACTCCAAGGAGGCCCAGTCAGAGGGTGACCCACACTTTTGTGAGTTTTACCTCTAGGAGTCCTACCAGGTTGTTATAGGTACTGTTAGAGAAAAATCCCCCGGTGCCTCCCACAGGGAATTGAAAATAAGCCAGAGCATCTGTTCTTCTTAACAAGGGTCTAACCCACTGGGCTTCATCAGAGTCCGAATGTCTTAGGGGAAGAGAAATTCCCAACTCTAGCCCACTATTTCCATCCTGTTCCACCTAAGGGGAACAGCCAAAAGAAAGGTGGCATAGCAGTTCTGATTTCAGATAATTTAGTTGTCAAATCAACAAAAGTAATGAGAGACAAAGATTGTCACTATATAATGGTGAAGGGTACAATTCAACAAGAAGACATAACAATTCTAAATATTTATGCACCTAACTCAGGTGCACACAGTCTGAGTACCCCTCAGTCTGCTGCAGAGTCCCAAATGAAAAGATCCCATTCCCTGTGGATGCCTCCGGGTGGTGGCTAAATTGTCTCTCTTGGCAGCCACAGGTAGGAGAGGAAAAGCGGAGAATGAAGCATTATGATGCCTGTCGATTGGCTGGGGTCTGGGGGGCAGGTCATGGCTCAAGGGAGCTGGGAGCCCAGTACCCCGTCCGCAAGAGGATCACCGCTCGCTGATGGTAGCCGTCTCTGCACTGGTGGCAGCAGGTGTCTCCAGCAGCTCGGGACCTGCTGATGCCTTTCTCCTTCCAGTCCTGCTCCGCAACCTCTTCCCGTGGAGTCTACTGTAGGTTCAGGGACCCTTCCTTCTGACATTCATATGATCTATGATTCTCTGCCTGTTTTTTTTTTTCACATTCATCTAAAATCTTTCCTTCTTGAAGAGACACTCTGGCTGCAGGTGTTTCTCATCCACCATCTTGTCTCTTTCCTTGGCCTCTGAGGTTTTTGATGAGAAATCTGATGATTGTGTGAGGTTATTATGATGACAATTATCGTCCTGGCAGCTCTATAGCTGTTAATAATGGACCTTATTGTGTATCACACACCACAGAAGTCGTTTTGATAGCATCATGATGTCAGCTATGTTTTAGCATCACCCCGACACCAATCAGAATTTAAAGAAAAAGAAATGGAATATTTCAAGTATAGACATTACGAGGTCTTTAGGAGCCTAAAGATATCACAGATTTTCAAACTGTAAGGAAGGCCTTGCTGAAATAACAGGAAAATATCCAATCCCCTAATTTTCGAATGACAGCTAAAGATCAATCCTATGAGCTCTCTGCTGGCAGGCGACCTGCTGGAACTGTTTTCACAAACATCAGAAGAGCCAAAAGAAAGGAAATGTAAATCTTTTTCTCCATATTTACCAGCTCATTGCCTTTAGAATTTGTTTCTATAGCCTGAAGGTGTTCCTGAGAAAGCTCCCAGAATAGAGGGCAGGAGGGTAAACTCCAGGCCTTCATTTCCTGCCCTAAACCAGATCTCAGGGGCAAAAATCACATCCCCTGTGATAAGCCCGACTATATTTCAGAGATAACCAAGTCTGCAGTAACAGAATAAACAAGAAAGGCAGACAACTTGATGTCTTTCCACTGCCTGCTAATTACTCCACAACAATTACTATTTTTCCCTCTGTCCCCATAAAAGCAGCAAGCCACTTGGCCTTGCTGCTGGCATCTCCCTTCTCTTTCTTTGGGATGCCACTTCATCTCCCTGCTCTCTCCCCCCACTTTCTCTCTTTCTCTCTCTCTCTCATTCTCTCTGTCCCTCTAAAGCATAAAATAAACTTTTTTTTACATTTATATCTTAATTTCTACATGAGAAATCTTTCTCCACCTGCACTGTTACCTCCTACTAAATGGAAAGGTCCCTGAAGCATTGTATAGGTTTAAATTTCTAATAAACTAAATATCAATCTCCCATTCAAGTACTAACTAGACCCAACACTGCTCAGCTTCTGAGATCAGACAAGATTGGGCATACTCAGTGTGGTATGGCCATAGACTTTAATATCAATCTCTATAACCATGCAAACAAAAAACACTTGTTTTCTTTAAAGAGGAAAATGTTCTTATGACCAAAAAAGGAACAAACCACTCTGGGTTATGCCCAGTGATGATTAGCCTATTTCTTGCTCTGACCTCAGAAAGAGCCATTGTTGTGGAATTACTAAAACCTAAGAATTATTAAAACCTACCTTTAGCCTAGGTTTTAGTAATTCCATAACCAGCCCTGATCATCCAGGAAGCTGCTGGTGACTTGTAGAGTTTGACCACAGCGGGACTTTATACTTAGCATTGTCTGTGTAGTTAGTACAGTTAGTATTGTCTGTCACTAGTGTTAGAACAGTATACTTAGTATTGTGAACACAGTTAGTATCAATGGTATTGTTAGCCTGGTTCATATAGCTAGTATTATTAGTATTCCTAGCCTAGGTAGTGTAGTTGCTATTGTTCATTAGTTACTTAGCATAACTACTGTAGAGTTAGCATGGATAGATGTGACCAAGCAGCAGGGCGTGGCCTCCAATTTGTCCACTGGAGTGCTTGACAATTATAAGCTCCTGAAGAAAATTGGCTAATGCAGCTTCACCAAGGTGATGCTGGCCTGGCACCTTCCCACTGGGACACAGGGAGCCATCAAAATCGTGTCCAATCAGAGCCAACATGGCCTGGAAAGTGTCGATATGGAGGTCAAAGCCATCAGGAACCAGAATCATCAAAACATTCTTAAGTTGTTGGATGGCACTGAGACTGAAGACACCCTCTATTTAATAACAGAATGTTCCAGTGGTCAGACTTTTTCCAGCATATACTGAGACACGGCCACAGGGAGGAGAAGGAGGCTAGGGCCAAATTCTGACAGATCCTGGCTGCCATGCAGTAGTGCCATGAGAACCAGATTTTCCACAGGGACCTGAAGCCCCACATCCTACTTGATGACAATGATAGTATCAAGTGAGTTCACTTTCAATTTGCCATGACATTTAGTGAAGGGATCGAGCTGGAAAGGTTTTGTGGAACTCCCTGTTTTTGTGCCCCAGAAGTTCCTGAATGAAGACTATATGGAGCCAGAGGTGGACGTGTGGACCTTGGGGGTTGTGCTCTACACCATGACAGCCAGGACTCTGCCATTCGATGGAGAGAACTGGGGGGACCAGTTCTCTGGAGGCAACATGATACATGGAAGGTATGAGACACCTATTTTCTTCTAAGAGGAATTGAAAACATTTCTGAAATAATTTGTGACCCTTGATACCAGAGAGAGTCCCACCCTCCTTCAAATTATGAGGGGCATTTGCATCAATGGGCAGGAGATGCCAGAGGAGACCAGGAAAGCCACAGTGACTGCCAGTCCTCTACCCAGCCTACTGATGAGTCCCAATCCAAGCACAGCCCCCCAGCATGGCCTCAGGGTCTTCCCCTCCACCCACAGCACCAGCAGCCATCGGGAAGAGTAAGGAGGACATGCCTCTCCCCAGGAAACATCTGGAGAAGCCAACTCTCTCCAGGCTGGGCAGCCAGATGGGAAGACCTCGACCTCTCCCTCTGAGGAGGGCCAGAGCTGGAAGGGGCTCGCTAGGAAATTTGCCAAGTTTTTGTTAACAATCTGCTGTAACCTGCTGGCTGGAAAGATGTGCCACAGAAGGCTAAACAAGTTGGTACCAGGGAATGTGGACAGCTGAAGCAGCTAGAGCAAGTATGTGGGGTGGTCCAGCCACGCTTCCTGAATCTATTTCATTTATTATGGTTTTACTGATATTAGTTTTAATAGACAAGTCATAGTTGCATACATGTATGGGGTACAGTGTGAAGTTTATATACATGTGCACTCTGTGGAATGGTGGCATCAAGCTAATTAACATATCCGTCACCTCAGAAAGGAAAATGCAGCATGATGTCGCTTAACATGTTGAATCTACAAAGCTGACCTCATACAAGTACAGTAGCTTGATGGTCATGAGAGGCTGGGGGAATGACAGGAAGGGCATGGCTCATTGGTCACAGAGTTTCAGACAGACAGGAGGAAGAAGCCCTGACATCTGTTGTACAGCAGGGTACAAGAGTTAATGAGAATGTACTGCACATTTCAAAATACTTGAGAGTATTTTCATAACTACCCTTCAAATGTGTCCTTGCCTTTGGAGTGGTTAGCAAGAAGACCCAGCACTCCCTGGATCCAGAAATCATGGAGTCTGAGGTCGGCCAGGCGTGGACTCACAAGCTCTGGGTGGGAGCCAGCAAGAAGCAGCCCGCAACCATCAGAGGCATCTGAGCCACAGTAGAGTGAGCTGCAGTACGGCCTTGAGCCCTGGAGACAAGAGGGCCCCTCTGCCCACACCGGGTCCCCTTTCTTCCCTAGTGTGGATTTTCTTTATGCTTAACAGCCCAGTGAGTAGTCACCCAGTGCTTCTGTCCCTAAAATCCAACCGTGGCTCTCACCCCTTCAGCAATGCCTGGTTAAAATTTTTTTTTCTTATGTCATCACATATTACTATCCAGATATGGGAGATTCAAATACATTTGAATTATTTTGTGAAGTAATTTAATTTCTAGAGACCCATAGTTTCAATTCTCTGGAAGCTTTCATCCTTCTGAGCTCTTCTGGACTTGGAAACTCCATAGGTTGGCTGACCTATGTTCCTGGCTTCTTTTTACCTCAAGGTCTCAATAGATCATTTTGTTAAGGACAAAGAACATTCCAGATTGGCATTCTATTGCCCTTCAGGTCTTTCCTATTAATAGATGGATGTTGAAGGATCATTCAAACCTGGCTTGTCTTGTTAGTTGACTTTCTGCAGTTTCCAGAGCAGAAGACAGAAGGTGGAAACTGAATCGCACTCTCCTAGATTCTGAAGTTTCTAGTTCTGAATCCTTGTGCCAACCAGGAGAAAAAGGTGAGTGGAGAACTGACTGTATTTTAGTCTATTGCTTTATTTCATATTGCTTTCATACATTGAACAATTGTGAATGGCATAGTCTCTTTGATCTAGTGAGAAGTAGTGTGAGCATTCTCTTTTGTCTAGGAGAATAAGAAGTTTGTTCAGAAGGGAATCCCCGTGAAATCTTATATCATTGCTATCGATTTTTCTTAGCATGAAAGAGGCAAAGGGAAGATTTGGAGGAGTAGAATCTTAAATTTTGAAAATGACAACTTTTTCTGTTGTTTTGCCTTTGGTTTTAATGTAGTGTTTGTACATGTGAAGATAAGCGTGAGGAAAACAATGACATAGCAATCGACAACAGGGCTTCCTTGGGTAAAATAAGAAAGAACTACAATGGATGATGGGATTTACTTGTTTCCCGTCGACAAATTTATGGTGATAGCAAATTGTAACATTTTTCAATACTAAAAGTGTTGTACTTAAAATTGGGAAACCGACAGAATGAGATTATCAAAAAGGCAAAACGAGAATTTCCTCAAGGCTTAGTCTGATTAATTAGGCCAGCTGATTTTGATGCAAGTGAAATTGATTTACATTGTTTATATTTTTTTAAAAGAGCAACTGAAACCAATAAAATGTGACTGTCTAGACTTTGGATATTGTACTCTATAGATTCTTAGGTGTAGCAGGTCTAAGTCTTTTAAAAAATCAAAATGCATGAAAACAAAGCAAGAACCATGACATCCAAATATTTTTCTAGCTCATTTTTTCTACAGATGCGTGATGGACTTGGAGTAGGAGAGTTCTGGCTGTATCCATCATTCATCACATTCATCCCAGTACATGTACAACCTAGTGACAACAGTTATAATAGCCAAAAATTAGTAGCCATCTAAATTTGTCCCTGAATTCAGAACTGAAATATTCTCCTGGTTCCCAAACTCTGCTCTTAGCCTTGTGTTTATAGGAAAATTGGCAATATTTTACTTCTAAGTAACTTGATTTTCACCCTAGGAGGTTATCTTTTGTATTTTAAATTTTCCCATGGCAATTTTATTCTGTATGGGAATAGCTCCCTGAAGAAGAGACCCTTACTGCCTTGAAATCACGTTGTGTCTCAGTTGTACTAACTATGAATGGGAGCAGGTTGCTTCATCTCCCATTTCTTAAACAGGAGAAGTAAAAGCTTGCCTACCTAAGTAAGATAATGCTGGGATAATGACTGCAGAAACTTATAGAAGGGGTAGGTATTCTTTTTGAGGGTAGCATTTCAAAATAAGGGGAGAGAGAAGAAATTACATTGGACTACCTACTAAATGACATAGCTTCTGTCAGGCACTTTACATATATAGATTAACTCCCTTAATCCTCTGACATGAGCATTATGGTCTTCATTCTGGTGTGTGACTTTGAGTGAGCTATATATGTAACGTATGTAAAACTAAGTTGTTCACCTGCAAAACAAGACAAATAGCTATACCCACTTTATAAGGCTGCTGAGAGGATCAAAGTAACACATGAGTGACTTAGCCCAGTGACTGGGCTGTTTTTAATGCTCAATAAATGTGAGCTAACATTACAACCTTATAGACTTTGGGTTAATTCATGGGACCTGATGAAGTGGAAGATTGGAAAATTCCACTAAAGTGGAATTCTTAGAAATTCCACTACTGGGCTTTCTCCCTTGCGATCCTTACCTGGGCCCCCTCCTCCCCTGCGACCTTCCCCCCCCGCCCCCACAGCTGCCGCCCCCATAAATCACCTGTAGCAATTAGTGTACCAGGCTGTAAAATAGCTTAGGACCCTGCCTCACTAAAGTTAACCCTGTTGTAGCCGTGCCCCTCCTCCTTAAGCAGAGTGTATGAAAGACTGCAGTGCTCTTTGTCTGGTGCTCAGAACTTGGGGAGACCAAATTCCCCTCTGGGCCAATTGCCAGCTGGCGTGAAGTATAAAACCTGTTTTGCCAAAATCTCTGAGTGTGTCTCTTGGTCTATTCCCGGTCAGCCCTGCCCTAACACTGATACATAGTAATGCCAGATTAGGAAGATGTTATTTGGTGAGAAAGCTTGTGGCTTATTGTACCTATTATCTACCTATCAACTATCATCTATATCCATCTATATTTTTACTAAGCAGATGGAAGAGAGAAAGAAGAAAGTTTCATTTCACATGTAGCCATTTAAGCCATGTCATTTCAGTGTCCCTGTACCAAGTACCCACTGACTGCTAACCTAGATAACAAAAGTAAAAGGCAAAGCAAGTTATCCTGGCTCAGGTTACTTTGTGTGATGCAGCCTTGGGAAGATTCTCATAACAGAACAATATGGACTAAGTTTTCTTTATCCTGGAAAGTATAATCACACATTCTCCTATAAGGTATATATGGGGGAGGGTGTTCACGTGTTTTTGTTGTGTTGAGGAATTGGAGTAGGGGTGACAAAATGGGAAAAGCTAATTATTAATACTTGATTGATAATGTTAAACTTTAATTCAAAAGGGAAAAAGAACTGTGTTAACAGAAAAATTCATGAAGTAAAGCAATGAAACCAATTGTCAAGATAATTGGAAATATATTCCTGTCAGGTCTGTGTTGAGTGTGGAATTACAGTTAATAATGTACATTTAAAATTAATTCCAATATTTTTAGACACTCATACTTTCCATCTCTTGAAGGAACACTGATGATTTCTGCCAGCTTTTTTCTCCCTCTGCTTTAGGTCAACTGATTGACAGGTGATTGATTTTGGCAAGAAACAGGAAATTGATCAAGTAAAATTGTGCAAACATTTTTTATTTTGAATGATTAATAAAATGCTTATGCATTCTATTTTAAATTTAGATTAGCATTTGGCTGCCAATATAGGTTACAAATGCTTTGTAAAGTGAAAAGCAATATATCAACATTAATTTTTATACTTTGGGTTGTGAAATGGGAAGAAAACCTTTATCATTTGAAAACACTAATTTCCTAAAATACGAATTTATGTAATAATGGAATGTGGTGATAATTTTTTAATTATGGACAGAAATAAAAGCATTTCACATCAGATCGCTCCAGGGGAGTCTTTTATGGCAACAGGTTGCATAGACAGCTCTTTACATCATGCAGTGAAAAAAATCTACTCAAAAGTGAGGAAGAAGATGAGACTTAGAGGAGACAGAGGTTGTTAAAATAATCTAAATACCTCAAGTGCAAACCAGAACGTTTTTACTTGAAACTTGTCCTGTAGTGCAGTACTTAAAATAATGTCAGGGAGGAAACTAAACTAAATGACTTCCTTTTTCATGTTGCAGAAAGCAGAAG